GCTCGTGATTACACATTAAACAGTTATGAAAGTGATTTAATTAGTTTTTTATATTCTTGTGGAACTTAGTCCAGAATTTTAATACAAATGGTTCGTATTTTATTTTTCGAAATAACTAAATAAAACAATGTTTGATTGTTCAATTGTTTTGAAGCTTCACTTTTATAATCGGTCGAATGTACAATTAAGGTTTCCATACATACATCACTAACTCTCATATCCGGTCTGTGTCAAGTTTCATTGGCCTTTTCAAACACCAAACAGCTCTAAAATGTTTTAGTGAAACAAAGAAAATATTTCTTTTTTTGAGAATCTGGAGTATTTTTCAAAGTAAAAGAAAATCTAATCGCTGTGTTCTGTTAGTGTTCATTGGAGAAAATGGGGTTTTTGAGTGACATATTTAAATCGATTCTTCAACTGTTTAAAGTTAGTTTAGAACTTTTTTACATTTTCAATAAAATAATGCAATATTATTAATGATATTATACAAAGTATTTCAAAAAATACATCTCATATTATATTTAAAGTTATTATACGATAAACGTGAGCGTAATAGTGCGAATTAGTATTACCTTGTTATTAATTTTGCGATTCTAACCTTATTTATTTATCAGCTAGTAACAAAATTTATTAGTGCTGAATGTACGAATCTTTATTTCAGAAATGTAAAAGGCAACGAGAAATTAAATGTAGTTTTTGCTTTATTCTGGGAATTATACAGTGAATCTGAGATTAAATAACAAAACAATAATTTGTTAAAAAAAAAACGTAGTTATCAAAATTTTCAAACAAATAATAAATGCTTTGAATACGAGATAAACAAAGGAAACCTTTAAATCTGCTTCATAAGATACCTAGGAGCAGTTCCTAATCTGTCAGTTTCTAGAATACTGGGTGTTTGTATATCTATATTATTTAAACTATGTTCTGTTTGAGGTAACAACTAGGTTATATAGATTTTAAGACTTTCGTGGTTATTCACTAAATGATTTTCACTAATATCAGGTTTCTTACCACGGTATGACTTCTTTTTATTTTCCCGACTACAAGGTTTATCATTATTGTTTTGTCTGTTGCCACTCTGCTCTTTAATTATCATTTTGAAAGTCAGCCAATGATCAAAGTGAATGTCAAGTCATTTTAGAAAATCATCAATTACTATTTATGTCCATAAATAGTTTCCACCCTTGGTGTAATAATAAGGTTCCATCTACAAAATAATATCTTTTTAAGAGAGAGGTCGAAAGATTCTATGAACGAAATTGGTTGGTATATGCTTAAATAGAAGAGACATAAAATTTCACACATCATCACCTTAAAGTATAAACCTCTCATATTATGCATTTTCACATAGTTCGTTTTAACAATTTTTTTTTTTTAAGAAAAACTTGTAAACTTGTTGCTTATATTTGAGCAAGAAGTTTATAAGTTTTTATATTAAAGTAATATAGTATCTGAAAGAGGATAGATTTAACTAATTAAAATGCTAACTACAAATCGCTGTTATACTGGAAAAAACAATTATTTCACAAAATATTGTTGACTTTGAAATAAATGCAATTTAAATTTCAATGATGAACATTTCTTATGCATACTATGGTCATCCCACGTTAATTTGTAATGGAGGATTCCACATTTTATGTTTTACCAAACGTTTGAAAATGTTTGCATTTGACATAAAGAATTTTGTCACGTTAATCTAAATTTAGTAATTTTCTGTGCAAATTCCAGATAATTGGTTTTTGCAGTATAATGACGAAGTATAGTTGCGTTTACTACATTTTACACCACATTTTTATCATTGTCTTGAAAAATTACATAGATATCACATACAAGGTATTCACTCTAAGATAATGATATATGTACATAATTTGTTTTGTGTAGTTCCTATTACTTTTATGACTTTCGTGTAACAAAGGCATTTTTGATGTCCAATCAAGTATGTTATAATAAATACCAAGTGTACAAATCAATGCATACAGGTCTAAAAATGTATGGGATATAACATCAGCCTGGAAATGATAAACTGATTTTTAACTTGACTTTTTATTTTTTGTCTGCAGACCGTGCTAGAGTCAGGGAGCGTGGGGAACGCATCGTCATCTGATGAGGAGTTGGAGCAGTGGGAACAGATCTTCATGATGAGAGATGAAAACGGAAACAGTTATCATGACAAGTTAGTATTTATTTATTATATGGCCTGCACTACAGGATATGGATCTCTTCTTGATTGTGGAAATTGTATTTGTAATTTAAAAGGCTACATTGCTATTTTTATATAATGTTTGTACTATACAGATATCTAGTTCCGTGTTTCAGTAGATTTTTATACCCTGTTATTTTTTCATCATGAATATCATTGCTTTTCAAACAACACTGCTGAAAGAAAACATTGCAAGTTTTAACTTTTGAATGAATTCATGTCAAAATACGACTTGAATATCAATAAAAATAATATAACCAACACACATAACAAAAAAAAATGTATTTATATAACGCTCCGAGAAACATAAAAGACATGACAGAGTGCACTAATTGAAAACGCTGTAGGCAATTTTATTTTTCTAAACTAAGTTATTTATATGTGGTACTTATTTTAATGCCCGTCCACAATTTTTTCTTTTCCTTTTAATTTTATTTGTTATTTTATTTTTAAATCGACCACTTCGAAAAAGGTCCACTGGAAACCAGCGCTGTGGCTACGCCGCAGTATTTGTTGAGTTGCACCCTTTGCAGTGCAATACACTTTAACCATAAAATCATAATATTGTACTTGTAACATGTGTTTGTGCTGAATAAATTTATTTTCTCATTTTTTTTCTTTCTTACATAGAATTATTTATTGTTGTTCAATAGCTTCACTAACATTATATTGCCTCCTAAGGTACAATATCCCGTAGTTTAGAGGGCGGGATAGTCCTTACTGTAGAAATTCAGCTTATAAAATAAATATTGTAGCCTATTTTTTAGTTGCTATTTGTAACATACATTATTATTATTACTATAACAATAGCTTATAAAATCTTGTCGACCGTAGTATATACACAGTTTTTTCACTCCTTTGAAATTACTCTAAACGAATTAAGCGGTGTTGTTTGCTAAGCAACAATATAATAAGAACGCACACACTCAAGACAGCCCCGCACTAGGGAAACCCTGTATTGCGGGTGCCATGGACGCACATATAGGCAACCACAAATTACACTCAAACTCACGAGAGAAATAAATGTAGGCCATACAAATATTTCTCCCAGTCCGGGAATGGAACCTGGGACCTTTGTGTGGCAGTCCGGCATGGTAACTGTTCAACCACGAAGGCAGTTATAGTAATATGTACTAGTAATTGCATTTATAATTAATAATATCTATTAACCTCATAATGTCACTAGGTCATACAGGCAGGTGTGAGACATGCATCTCTGTTTACATATTGTATTACATATTAATGAGTTTCTTTTGTCAACAGAAGAAAAAAACGCAGCATATGGTGTAGACCATCATGCATTCCAGTGTCAATAGTGATAGTGCTAATTGTTCTTGTTGTGTTGGTGCCACTGCTTGACCAGCCCAATGTGGGGCAAACCATCTCTGCCACTCTCCCTGTTGCCTTGCATTGCTCAGATGAGTGTAGGTGAGGACTCACATGCTCTACTTTTTTATTATAGTGTACTACTCCTTTTTTTATATTAGTGTGTACTACTACTTTTTTAACCGACTTAAAAAAACGAGAGAGGTTCTCAATTCGATTGTATGTTTTTTTTTGTATCAAAATCGGTTCATAAATGCTTAACGTACGTTATGCATTTGTGAACCGATTTTGATGATTCTTTTTTATTGGAAAAAGGATAACCTAAGAAGTGGTGAAGTGGTGGTAAGTGGCATTTAAATTTGAAGAAAATATTCCACCTCTAAGTGTGGCAAACTAGGGGTTGAATGACTTTTGAGGTCGGTTTTTTTTTAGTACAGATACTGAGATTTTTATAAATCAGTAAAATATTCTGACTCTAAAACTGAACACCTGTGGGTGCTTGATGATTACGTCGCAGATCAATTCCCGGTAGGATTAATGTGGTAACAAACTTTTCTGAACAGACAATGGTCTGGGTGTTCTGGATGTTGCCCCAGAGTGAATTGTTTTTATGATACCATACAGGTGTGTCGCTTACCACCAAGTGACGGGACGAACCAGTCGTCCACCTAAGCGACACACCTGTCTACAACAGTTGCAGTGTCTCTCAGAGCTTCAAATCGCAAAGATCTGAGAGGCACTGCCAATGCGCCTCTCACCTAGAAACAGACATAAGTTGACAAGTCCCATGTGCCTGTAATTTCACCCGTCAAAATCAGAGCGCAGTAATGCTCACGTTACTGCTTGGCGGCAGAAATAAGTACATTCCTGGACGAAGTCCACAAGGAGCTCTTACTGATTTTGTTGCTTTGGTATTCATAGCACTGGGAATTTCCTCTATAGTTTGTGAGAAAATGGTGTAGTTATCAGACACATTATTATTAATAACAAAATTTTTAAATTATTATAACTGATAGTACTTTAATTATAGATAGTTATTTTATTATTCCATAGATTAGGCATTTAAGACCTCGGTTACTTAAGGGTTAACAAATATGAGCACTTAATGATTCATTAATGTTGATGATGATTCATTCAATTCCCGGTAGGACCAATTTGCGAATTTTTCCTCTAAATTGTTCTGGTATTCTTGTACTCATAGCACAGGTGTGTTGTCTGGCTCACATTATTGATGACTTGTTTTGATGTGATATATATATAGTATATATATCATATATATAGTCATGCACACTATATATATATATGTATATATATAGTCATATTAAAAATAGGTTGATTGGTTTTAACAGACCATAGCATTGATCATCAATGCACAACGTATTTAAGAGCTTTCTGACAACCAAAAAACTTGAATAATGTGGACTGCTTATAGCATCAATTCTTAAAGAAATAAAAAAAAGAGACAAATAAATTAGAACATCAAATACTATACTAGCTGACATGGCTAAATTACTAAGCGAAGATGTAATTACAAACCCCGCAATATATAATCCATTAGTCATCATTTAAAGCCTTTGTTGACAACAGCATTGTTGTCCTCAAGTTTATTGCAACACATATCTTGTAAGTAATGATATACTTTTTTCGTATTAAATATTTTTGCGTATGAAACTACTAGACAAAGTTTGGGGTCTTTACGAGTCTCATATTTGAAAAAAACAAAATATATAGTCAGGTTGGGTAAGGGGAACAAACTTTATTGTGAGTCTCTTTGACTCGCATCAAGTCCCTCTTCCCCTGGTGTTCCTCTTACCCCACTTGACCCTATGCGATTTTAGTTCCATAAAAAATAGTTTCATTTCCAATTTTTTACAAAAAAGTATTAAAAAGGCAGTTATTCTGTTGTGTACTATATATATGAACAACATGAAGGTTTATGTATTTGAGAAACATGACCATCGTTTGATCCCTTCCGTGTAATAAAGAGGCATTTGTATGTTTTATTTAAAACTAAATTTTTTTAAGTACATATTTTTTTACTGTAATTGTTTTATAAGTATCTATTAGACTCAATTTACGTTGCCACAGAACACGAAATTGTTTATAGCATAATGAACTTTACCTCAATTGCGAACTAGATACGCCGTATCGTATGATAGCTGCGACAATTCCCGAAATTGCACGTGAATTTTTTTGTTTTATTTTTTTTTAAATAAGTGCATATTGGATTTCAATCTCACCTTATGGAAAGTGACTATGATGTAGCATGCACCGTTAAATCATGCATGTTCACTCTAGCCTTGAAAAGGCCCAAGTGCTCGGGAAATAAGGCTGCAAGCAGGAAATTCTCGAGAAGTCGCGCGACTGGTTTTTTTGCTTAGTATTTAGTTTATACGTTACACAATTGACGGTAATTTCATTATGTTATGGTTACAATAATTCGATTCTAATGTAAGTTGAGCCTCTATTAGAATCATAGCTCCGTTGCACCGTATGTTAACTGCGCTGTGTTTATGCGCGTGAGACATACCTTTACCTCGCAACTTACACGCTAAGCAAGTTCAAAAATGGTATCTTTCTCATTGAAAAATTTTTTTAATTAACCAGTTGTGTCCGACTGCTCGGCCAAATTCTTTCCCAAAAATCCTCCACTGCTCCCAGTCTTTGATTTCCTACCAATTCTCAAACTCATTGGAAATGTTACACAACTTTAAAGTATTTCTTTGTTTCAGATTATCATTAGTAGAAAGTATACCAGAGGGTCACATGTATCCTCCGAATGTCACACACCTGCCCACGAAAAACGTGTGGTTAGACTTAATAGACGAAGCTCAAGCCTCTATAGAAATAGCCTCTTTATACTGGACTCTTAGGTTTAATGAAGAATATCATTATAATTCCTCTATAGAGGTGAGTTTTCCCATGTCTTTCCCAGTTTATACTTTATATAACATTCTATACTGGGTATACTCTTCATAACAAACAATTTTAGCAATGAAATAATAATAATAATAGTTTATTTGCCTCAACACTAAATATTATAAAGTATAAAAATTAATTAAATAATTAAATTCACGAAAAAAATCGTCACTCCTTGCATGAAACCTTAAAGGAGTTTGAAGATTTTGGATATATGCATAGAACTAAAACTAAATATGTGAATTTGTTATAAATATACTATGCTATAAGTCCGGGTAAAGCGTCATGGCTAACCAATAGAAATCGGTTATTATTTATTGCTAAATTTCTAGGTTATCATAAGTACGATTCGCCAATGACCTATATGTAATTGTAATTGTAAATGTATTCTTGATCGTTGTTCTTCTCCAGATCTATCGGCTGTTAATGTCTTCAAATATAAAAATTCTCTGTTATCTTGTTACGAATGAACTAAGTTACTAAACAACGTTTTTGTGTAATGTAACTCTTTTGCATTTAACATACAATTTACAACATATAATAAACAAACAGTTACCTTACATAGTCATATTTTTTCAGGGAGAACAAGTATTCCAAGCTTTACTAGCCGCTGGGTCAAAACGGAAAATTAATTTAAAGATTGCTCAAAATTGGCCCACTAAGGCTTTTCCTAATATAGACACAGAATATTTAGTTAAGAAGAAAGCTGCTCAGGTAAGAGATTTATTCTGTTATAGTGAAATATAGTAAATATACTTTGTATGAACATTGGCACTTCAAACTCAGTGCCACTTAATAAACAAAGTCCAAAGTGGAAAACCGCGTTAAAATTTTATAATAATTCATCGATATGATCAGCGAAACACTCTCTTTTATTGCACTTAAAATAATTACTTATGCTCTTTTTATAGAGTGTTTTTTTAAAGAGACATTATGGGAATATCCGAAACCACAGACGATACAAGGAATATTCATACCATTAAAAAAACCACTCTGTATATTGCAAATTAAGTTTTTTTACGTTTATTGATTTTCTTATTTTGTTCCTTAAAAATATCTATGATTGTATAGGTGAGGAGTTTAAACTTTTCGAAGTTACTCGGAGGCGGAGTACTCCATACAAAGTTCTGGATCATCGATAGAACACATTTCTACATCGGTAGTGCCAACATGGACTGGCGGTCACTCACTCAGGTATTTTAAATAATTGTCATAACAAAATTGGAGCATTCATAAATTTAAGATAAAAAAATTCTCAATCCTTTTTAACCGCGTGATGATACGTCAAACCCACATTGGGCGCCATATGTAGTAGTTAATATATGGCGCTCAATGCGAGGTCGGGAACGAAATTATTTTTTATCCTAAAATAATTGTAAAACTCTTGTGTACTGACGTCGTTGTTCATATTGTAAGTAGATGTTAGGGCTTGTAGAAGCTCTGCAGGGGCGCGCCTGTGGCACTAATTTTCATAGAATATTAAGGATCGTATTCTAGAACTCTACTCAATGCTCAAGTCAGGATTTGAGCAGACTTGAGTATGATTTCAAGCACTGGAAATACGACCCTAATGGCCCTTGCCATTAGGGTCGTAGGGTATTACTTGAGTATGATTTTCAGTGCTCACTGCAATACTCAAGTCCGGACTTTGTAGTGAGCAGAGTTCTGGAATACGACCCTTAGAAGCACAGCTGCAACGCTACAGCCGCGCCACTTTTTCAAAATATATATTGTATGACAATTAGTAATGGCGCGTCTAAACCTTTAAATAACAAACATATTCCCGCCGATTATGTTCGCTGTTATATGTATATGACTTTTGTTCTTTGTTTGTCTCTGCAGTGTGTTTTGTTGTTATGTAATTAGAGTTATTTGTATTGTATATTTTTCTCAGGTAAAAGAAATGGGTATCGTTGCATACAACTGCTCATGTCTAGCGAAGGATTTGGCGAAGATTTTTGAAGTAAGTGTCTAACAGTTAGATACATAATGTTAATTTGTATTAAGTAATCTGTAATATCGTACAGTCAAACTTGTGTGTCAAAGTTGATCGCGTACGTAAAATTATGTTTTATATTTACCGGCCGATGGTCTAATTTGCGTTTAGTTATTAAGCGTTGACCATAGAGAACAATCGTTAAGCTACCAAGGTGAAAATGTTTGTATACATACATACTTTTAAAAAATTTAGTCCCACCCAGGCTATGTCAAAATGACTTTGGTGGTTAATTGATGAGAAAGCTTGACGAGAAACTCTTGACTTGACAGCTGGTGGGTTAGGGAAGTTACTTTTCAAAATTGGTACTGATGTTATACTATTGTACTAAGATACAAGGTATATAGAATTTCTTAATTGGAGACCATGTAATTAATATGGTTGCCTAACAGACTATTGCAATTAATAATGTACGAAAAAAACATAGCTGAACTGCCTATTCGTGGACATAAAAACCATGGAGTACATGTAACGCAAAAACATTATATATGACTAAGTGCCACAGCACCACGTGGAAAACCAGATTAGTTGAACAGTCAAGACAAAACGAGTACTTAGGTTTTCGCCATTGTTACACATAGGAAATGAAACTATTTTGCCGGATTTAAATCGCGTATATTTGTTTTTTCAAACAAACCGACGTTTCGGGCCCTTTACAGGTCCCATGGTCACGGTTGACTGAGGACCAGTTATGTTCTATATGCCCCTTGGTGAAACTAACAGTTGACACTAGACTATAGTTCCGAATTCACAACGTGACTATCAAGACTCAGCTTGTTTTATTTATTTTTCTTCATGAAAATGCGGAATAATTATTGAAAACAACGTAATTTTAATAGATTTTATCATTACATACTTTTCTTTTTTTGACAGTCAAAATTCTCTGAATGTAAATAGCATTAAGTACCTAAACATTATACTACGATAAGACGATTCGGAACATCAAAAAAGAAAGAGATAGCATTATATAGTCCACATAGCGTTATCTCTTCCCTATTTTTATTAAGGTTTTGACAATATTTGGAAAACATTCGTTCTTTCAATCACTTTTGCAATAATACATTACTTGGTTGACAGGTTCGTCATGGTACGAATATGGGTAATATTATAATAAGCTTACTTTAAGCTTACATTGAAATAAGATTGTTTTTAGAAAGGTTATGGTAGGCCCCCAGCTTATAAATAAAACGGTTGCAAATTGTTCATTTAATTTATTGCCACCATATGCTATAAAAGGTCTTGTTTAATATACAATTTGTTCATATGGACCCCGTTAAGACACTGTAAGGTTTAACAATTTGAGAGAGGAACTTACGATTACATAAAATAGTACAATAACAAAGTACCCCCGATTTTAATTTATACATTTTACTTATATAAAAAAAATATTAATTAAAATATTTAAACAACTCTTGACATGAATTTATAACACACGGGATCAAACACAGGGTATTTAATCTGTTAATTCGTGTACAACCACGTGTTTTGTAGACATGGATAATTTATTGCATCGTCAATTTATTCTTCAAATTCTGTGTTGATTATTGAATTTTTTTTAAACGCTGTTGTACTTAATACCTACCCTAGCGTTGAGTTCTATTTCATTAGTATCAAATAATCGGTAAGCAAACATCATTAATACCAACACGTGTACGTTTCGACCGGTACTCATGTGGTAGATGAAATACGTAATATATTACGTACAATAGCGTAATGCCCAGCCATCTTGTAAATTCCAATTTCAATTTCAATTCATTACTCCATATAAGATATATAAAGATATTAAATAACATAATTATAGGTTCTTATTATGCATATGATACCGTGTAAGGCCGTTGTTATAACGGCGATCCCTTGTACATACTAAGTGGTTTATCATTAATGAAGTAATGTGACAACCGTCATTTAAACCACGGGTCGATTTTTTAAATTATGAAACTGTTAGTAAGTTTTAAAAGTTACATATTCGAATTCGTGGTCTCGGGACGCAGCAGTACACAAACTCTTAATACAAAGATTGAACACTAAGAAAAATTTCTTCGATCCGGCTGGATTCGAACCAGCGCCTTCAGCATACCGTGCCTGACGTTCTCCCAACTGAGCTACGGAACGAACCAGCAGACCTTAGCCTTTTTTTGCGTCGAGGTTAAATAAACGACACTCGCTTTGTATAAATTGTAACCTTACCAAAATAATATTTGTTTTACTTGTAAAGCTATATTCAGATTATACTAAATTTTATTGAGACTAAGAGTCGTATTCTAGAAGTCTACTTAATGCTTAAGTCAGGATTTGAGTATGGTTTAAAGCACTCGAAATCATACTCAAGTCCCTGCCATTATGGTCGTATTTCTAATTAGGTGTGTGTTAAGCCGCTATTCTTAAAAACTATCAACATGTTTTAAAACAAAAACATCATGCTTGACATTTCGGACATCGTACTGTTTTTATCATAAGCGGCATAGAGTTGAATTTAAATTTGACCTGAGCCTGTACTAATTTTTCTTCGAACTGTAATATTGTTCAGAGGCAATTTTCATCCGTGTAAATTGTAGTGCTGAGCTGTTTTATAGCTAGTATTTATGGAATTTTCCAACGCCACTAATTGCCATAATATTTGTTTTGCTCGAGTTTTAAATAGACTTTGTGGTAAATTGCTGGATAGTTTGTACGGACAACGGCACATCGAGACTACACATTTTTGTTCGAAAATCGCCTCCATTGCAACGGAACAAGATACGTCAATGTGTAGCTTAATGTGCTGGCGTGTGTACTAAGAATACTATTGTATTAGAATAAATAGTGTGTTACCAAAGCATGTAAAAGAACGGTTTACTCCTAACGGAGCAAAACGTACGAAGCCTCCAAAAACATTCTCTATTATTTGTCGTCCACTGAAATACGTGGAATTCATGTCTAACAGTTCTTTCCGAGAGGACGATATGCTTAAAGCATCGACAACATACGCAGAGTTTATTGTAAAATTAACTAACAACCTCGCAGGAATATATTACTAACATCATAAATAATAACTTTCGATGCATGACTTTTTACCGGGAATCGAACCCGCGACCTCCTCATCCCTTCGTATAGCGTGAAACACACAGAGAGCTCGCGTGTCGGGTCGGGAGCGCGGCGCGGGCGGGTCTAATTCCGTGTATTTATATGGACTACAAGACACCCGCTTTTAGTGTGATGAAAAGCGAGGCTCAAATTGTCTCTCAAACATATTCTATCTGGTTGCCTATAATGCGGACTCTGGGCTCTCACAAAGGTTACATTTAACATGGTTAGTCTTTGTTTTATATAAGATCTGTTACTTTGTGTTAATATATCTTTATTATCATAATGTTTGTCTTTCGTTCTTTGTATTCCGTATCAAAGCTCTTCCTCGTGAGTAATAACTGTTAGATTTTTACGTATTGCGCGGAAGGATAATTTATGTTCTCTTTCATATATACTTGCATATCAACCCTTATGAGTTTCAGTAATGGATTTTCTTTAAGAAGAGAGTTTAAGTCATATTCTATTTTTTTTAAATATCAAGTGACGGGTCGAACAAGTCGTGTGACTGGAGGTAAGCTAAACGCCTGTCCATAGTAGTTCCAGTGCCGCAGATCTTTAAATCGCAATGATCTAAGGGGCACTGGCACTGCCACTGCGCCTGTCACCCTGAGACATAAGTTGACCGTCTCATGTGCCTGTAATTTTACCAAAATTATCTTTTATCTGAAAGGTTTTTGACTTTGTAATTTCATTACGCTGTTTTTCTTTGCCGTTCTAGATAAGATATGTATAAAAAGTAGTTTAATGAAGTACCGTTGAATTTAATCATAAGCGTGGAGTTTCAGAGCTTCCAACTAATAGGCAATAAATAACCTTAGTGAATCAAATGATGCGCTTTGTGCTACGTACGGGATGATATCTTACCGCGGTGGCGCGACTGTCACTTTTCATACAATTCTAGACGCGCGGTTGCAGCGCTTCTAGAAATTGTACACGGAATGTGGTCTGTGAAATTGTATGAAAAGTGACAATCGCGCGGCCGTTACGCGGCCGCCGCGCGGCTGCAGCGCTGCTGCAGTGCGGCTAGCAGCGGCAATCGTCACGCGCGATAGAGTGTCTGTGTAAAGCCCGCTAGAGTATAGAGTAACCTTTGTCAAATGCGGTACTTACATATTGATATTTTTTACCAACATCGCGGGTTAATATCTCGATTATGAACGTTGAGGATGCGACGGAATAACAACTTCTGTCCCCTGACCGGCATTACGCTTAGTCGCGGCCTGTTCATTGTTCCTATTAATTATTAATTTTTACCGTTTATATTTCGTTTTAATGTTATTTTATTAGCTATCTACTTTTAACTTTTAATTTTCGGTGATGGTGAAGATGAAGAAAATTTTTGGTGATACATGAGTCAATTGTAAAGGTAACTAGATGTCAAAATGATAATAATATGAATAACGTCGGAATAAAGATACAAATGCAAAAAATAGATAATGAATTTAGGGATTTATCATTTAGAACTTCAGACTATGTATAGTACATTTTATAAGTCTATAACTTGTTTCATTGTTTTTCAAATAAGGTTACATTATGAGTGCCTTTCAGTTATATCAATTCTGGTATTGAATAATCAATAATTCAACATATTATTCAATACAGCTAATGTTGTCCTCGTGGGCTGCGATAAAACGACATGTGTCAGTAATTAATTGGCTGAATGACCTGCCACAATGCCAGTCGCTGGTCGCGACGTTATTTTTAGTGCATACTTTACTATACGATTAAATATGCATATTGTTGTTCAATATGTGGACATTATTGTGTCCTATCGATCGTTATAACACGAACATCTGATTTTGCACGCGATCTACTTACAACATTATTAGTAAAGTTCATTTATTGATGAATTAGATAACAGTGTATTTATGTTATGACAATGGAAACAGACTTACAGGGAGCGTACATTTTTGCATTATATAACAGTATCGTCGTTTTTTATCTATAACAGTGTTGGGCGGCAAAGTACGGGCCGCGGGTCCAGCTCCGGCCCCTGAAGGGCTTTCTTAAACCGTCCCGCTAAGGTCCCTTTTAAAGTAGAAGAGTATGGCCCTCGGAAATATATTTTGACAGCCTCATCCATCAACTAAAAGATAATCCATTTTTTAAACTCTGGCCCCCTGTGAAATTTCTTATGTTTTTCTGGCCCCTGATGTCGGAAATTAGGTTTTAATAAAGTGGAACGTTACTTGGTTGATATTTCTTTCATGTTTATTAAGCTCTTTTCGCCGTGCTCATGCGCACAGCCAAGTAATAATAAATGTTTATTTGCTTTCAGCAATAATGTACCGAACTGTACACAAGATAATCAATGAATAGGCTAAGAAAATATGGTACATTGCTGTTTATGTAAGGTTCTGCAGCCGAATTAGGGTTTAAAGTATATATCAGCATACAACGCCTTACCTCACGGATATGGAATTCCCTTCTTGTGTCTGTATTTCCGAGCACATACAACATGCATACAACCTGAATGTCTTTAAGGTGGATTGAATAGGCATCTTCTGGGCGACCTCGTTTCATCGTATACCCCATATTTGCTTCAAGGCTTCGTAGTGTTCAAATGTACATTAATTTACAAAAGAAATAACAGAATGTTTTTATATAGTGCTGATGGTAATGAATTGTTATGCGATTGGAATGTACATTAAGTTTTGCAGTCTATGGTACTTCTTCTCATACATCTATTATTAATACATAATCGCAATGTGATATTACAATATAGTCGTAACTCAAAATTGTCGAATTGAGAAAAAACGATTTAAAAATTTAAAAAAAATTCATGAAACCAATATTATATTATCGTTTATAAATGATTAATTAAGTATTCATATAAATAAAAATAATCACATTATTCGCAATAGGATCCATTCAGTACTTTTTTCTTTTTAAATTGTGCTTTCTCAATTCTGCAATTTTGAGTTACCACACTATTATAATGGCTGTGCGATATGTAGGCGTGCCGTTTCAAGCATGTTCTTTTTTTAATGATACCAAGTGACGGGACGTACAAGTTGTGCACTTGGTGGTAAGCGACACGCCTGTCAATAACAGTTGCAGTTCCACTCAGAGCTTTAAATCACAAAAAAAATTGAGGGACACTGAAACTGCGCACGTCACCATGAGACATAAGTTGACAAGTCCCATGTGCTTGTAATTTCACCAGCACCTTTACCCTTCAAAACCGGAACACAGTAATGCTGACATAAATAACATTAATACATAAGATAACTGGACGAACTCTTTCACAATGAGCTCTACTGCTGCTCTTCATTCTGTCATTGCTAAGAATTTTTTCCACCGCGGCCTTATCTGGTTATTCAACTTGTAAATCATTTAAGACTTTCGAGGCATAGGAAGCGCAATGCAAAGATATACAAGTTTCTAAGTTTGTGGAAGTTTCCGCTGTCACGTTCTACTTCGATTGTCAACTGCCGCAATTCTGTGAACCTACTTAGCTTTACAATGCAACGTGATTATGCAGCAATGGTTCATTCGACTATTACTTCAAATTTATGCACTTTTGCTGCATAAAATACGGCGTTGTCTGCGTACTTTGGGATATTTAACTCTGAAAATAAATACAAATCTTGTACATTAGACAATTTCTGCGTAATAACGCATGAGGAGTAAATAAACTTTTTGGAATTGGTTTTGGTCTGGGTGGTCTGGATAGCCCCAGAGTGAATTCCGCTGTTCTCGTACTCATAGCACATGTCGTTTTCGGTGTTTTGTAGGAAGGGCGAAAGCGCCATTTCGAATAATTTCTCAGGGGAGCATGTTTTAGTTTTTATTTTTAGTAGCTGTAGAGTTCGTCTAGGGAAGTACTGCCATCTTACCATTTCTGCCGCCAAGCAGTAATGTTAGCATTACTGTGTTCCGGTTTTGAAGGGTGAGTTTGCTGGTGAACAGGTACAGGGTCAAGAGCACGTCAAGTTTGACACTTAAAATTAAAACCCAACTCTATGCAATAAGAACGGTCCAAAGTACAAAGTGTCAAGCTTGACGTGCTCTTGACTGTACATGGGACTTGTCAACTTATGTCTCAGGGTGACATGACGGGCGCAGTGGCGCCCTTCGGATATTTGCCATTTTTAAGCTCAGAGTGGCACTGCAACTGTTATGGACAGGCGTGTAGCTTACCGTCACAAAAAGGGTTCTCTTTTAAATTCAATTTTAGAACTTAAACTTAATTAAAACCAAAATTGAATTTTAAACAGGACGAAAATATTTTAAAACTAGTAGTTGAAACTTAAAACATACTCACCAGAAAAAAAACGAAATGGATTTTCTCCCTTTCTACATAGACGACGATATTCGACGTTTCGGGCCCTTTACAGGTCCCATGGTCACGGGACGTTTCGGGCCCTTTACAGGTCCCATGGCGTGACCATGGGACCTGTAAAGGACCCGAAACGTGTCGGTTTGTTTGAAAAAACAAATATACGCGATTTAAATCCGGAAAAATAGTTTCATTTCCTATGTGTAACAATCGCGAAAACCTAAGAACTCGATAAACAATGAGAAAATGAAATAAACATGAAGAATATTTTTTTGTGAAAACGATTTTATTTGTACCTTTTTTATGATTGACATTTGACACGTTGCTAGCTAGAAACGCATTTTCTTTTTCCAATCCATTTTATAAACATGTAGAGAATTATCTCTTCGAACCCTGCCAAATATTAAAGAAATGTTTTTGAACAGGTGTACTGGAGCCTCGGTACGCCGGATGCGGTTGTGCCGGATACGTGGCCCGCCGAGCTCAATACTGAAATCAATATACAGCACCCCATCAACATCTCAGATGGACACCAAAACTATGGAGCTTTTTTCACTGTAAGTTATTATCTAAAAAAGTAAAATTGTATTTTGTCGTTTTGACTAGTACTCCACTTCATCATTCATCATTTCATTTATTAATAATTTCTTAAGTTTAGTAAATAACAGTAATTTTTTCGCCGCCATCTTGAATTTTTTTAACAGCTGACCGACATCACCCGCTATGACAGTCCTTCCAGCACTCCTTACACCTATCTATCTTTAATAGTTCCCGATATAGAAGACAGTGAAATTTGTACGTCGGCCATATTGCTTATTTGAATTTCGAACGTTGTTCACTTTCGATGGGCATTGGCAGGTTTTGCTTCATAAAACCTCTAAGACGAAAGCGATTTCGTTTACCCATCTTGGTGTACGACGTACGTCGCTTAAATTTACAATTTTCACTCTTCTCCATCGCCTAAACTTACAATTTTCAAAAATAGCCCTTATTATAGGGCAATAGCAATATATAACATGGTACCATTGACTTACAAATAAATGGACGACGAGTCTAATACAAAAACCACGAAAAAAATGTCCCAAGTCAATCTATTTAAACGTAGTGACATGTAAAGGAATATGAAAAGGCTAAAACGTTGAATTTCAATTGTAATGTCATCGCAGTACTGTCTAATTTTGCTTGCTTCGCTGTCAGTCGAACAAACGAAGACTAAAGCGTGAATGACGCTCTGTATACGATTTTAACGCCCTATAAGTTCGGACACTTTTTAGCGCGGACCCGACGTCCATATAATTGTAAGTCAATGCGTGGTACCTAGTAATATATTACTTCAGAAAGACGAAAAAGTGTGTTATTATGCAATACAATATTTTGTTAAAAACAAAGAACTCTGATCTCCCTATATTAAGATCTACAATTGTAATAATTTACATAGATTCATTATTTAATTGATACTGCATTACTTTATTAACATTTTTTTTTATTTAAGAGAATTTAATACTGTAGTTATTTAATTTATTTTTTCAAATATTTGATTGCAATTGCAATTTTTAAGTTTAATAAATTGCATGTCTAACTATTTTTAAGCCCTTACAGGGTACATGTAATGTAATTTTATTGTATGTTCGCTAATAAATAAATATTGAAATACGTTTCAACTACACGAGTCGTATACAAAGTTTTTAAGTAACTTTTTTCCACCATATGGGGAAGTATCCTATGAATTTTTATTAGACTGAGAATTTATAGAACGAGATATACTAACCTAATATAACCCGGAGCCGTATTTGGGCGAAAATAAAACTTTTTGTTCTTACATTACATCTACGACCCATAGTTTACGAGATAATGTATTATAGTCTTATCCCTTAAGCTTTTAATATTATCTTTTTAGTTTAATGACAAAATTGAATTGCGTAACATATACCTACACAAAAAAGTTAGTTGAATTGAGAACCTCCTCTTTTTTTGAAGTCGGTTAAAAAGCATTCGTTCCCATTAGACTATTATACTTCTTCTTTATTTATTATAATGTCTTTTTTACGGGTAAAAATTTAACTTGGAAGAGCGTGGTTTGTTACGCAAGTTATAGCCTAAGTACCTGGATACCGTAATTGTCTTATCTAATAAATAGGAAATGAAACTATTTTTCTTTTTGTTGACTCACAGTCAACCGTGACCATGGGACCTGTAAAGGGCCCGAAACGTCGGTTTGTTTGAAAAAACAAATATACGCGATTTAAATCCGGAAAAATAGTTTCATTTCCTATGTGTAACAATCGCGAAAACCTAAGAACTCGTTATCTAATAAATGTTTTTTTTTGTACATTGTGATAATTTTGTCGAACCATAATTGCTGTAGCTAAATTCAAAACATTTGTAGTTCAATCTTTCTAGAAATTAATGTTTCCAGATTCGCGCGAACTATTGCATATTTTGAAACGACTTCAAAAAAAGGAGGTGGTTCTTTATGATTTGTGAATCGATTTTGATGATTTCTTTTTTGTTGGCAAGAGGATACTTCAGTACTGATCCCATTTGATTTTGAAGAAAATATTTCACCTAAAAGGGTTGCAAACTGGGGGATGAATCCGGTTTCGCGCACTTTCCCATAACTGATTTTAATAAAACTTGGCAATCAGATGTAATTCCACGAACTTTTGAGGTCGGTTTTTTAGTACTCTGTATTGAGATTATAATTATGTATTCGGAAGATATTCGCAGTCCATTTCTTTCTCTCTTACTATGATACATTTCAAGATAGTGGCCTTCACCTATATTCCTGATGTAAGTTTAAGACTTACAGTTCCTCTTACGTTACCTTATTAAATATAGAGCTTTCAATATCTGCGAGGTGCTCTAAAACACAGAGATTATTAATAAAGTATTTATGACGCCTCGTAACAAAACACACGAATGTGCGTTCTGAAATTATTATTTTAGTTCTTCTTTGGGTAGTAAAGGTATCTTTATACTATTTATTATACTTTGGTAGTTAATTGAGTCGTATTTACACAAAGGTTGTACGATGTAAGAATATTTATAATTGTCAACCCGACAACAGGTTTTCATCTAATATTGCATTTACACTGGGTCGACATGTCGCCTATAAGCATATATACTTATATATATACGATGCCGGAATATGTTATAGAAAAAATTACAAAGATAAACAAAAAGCAACTTCAAAATTTATACATGTATTGCCTTCGATTAATACAAATGAAGACGCAGTACGTGTCAGTTGTAATAAACACCGTATGATATTAAGCCAAGATTGAACGTTTTTTATTGAAATAAAAAATAAGTAGAAATAGAAACCATTTATTTCTACGCCATAATAGAAAAAAACAGAGGTAATATAAACAAAAACAAAAATAACACAAAAAAAACCAGCGTAGCTACCTTTTAAACAACAAATTATATTATATAATTTAATACTATACTGACGTGTGCGGCAGTGGCGCATGCAAAAGGATCACATTCAGCTAAAGCCACAGCGGAGAATGGATTGTGACGCTCGCTGGTTTTCAATGGACCCTATTGTTGTTATAAGGCAACAGAAGAAGTGGAGGTATAACCGAGCTACCCATAGTACAGGGAATCCATTGACACAGCACACCCATATCTAAATGTATACTATAAGATATCTAATCTATGTTGAGTGTGTGCGTTATTATTATTATGTTATTATTAATAGAATTTAATTCGATTGAATATTTTAAGAGTTCAAATCCCCTCAAGATATCTCGAAGAAGGTTTCTAGATAATTTAAAGTAAAAGTGGGCACGACTTTATTAGTAGATCACAAGAGTGCTTTGAGAAACTATCTGTAGGTAGTGTTAAGAGTGATTCTTATCTTTTTTCTCAAGTAACGCTTCTAGAATGCTACAATACCATTTATAGAATGTAGACAAATTTTGTTTAGTCTTGTAGGCAGTTTTTAGATAATTTATAGTCTATGACAGGTTTCTTGGTAATGCTATTTTAAAACCAAAGTAACTAAAGCGTTACAAACGTAAGACGCAATTCTCTTAATACTAATAGATTTCAAGTTTAATGGCTTACAAAATATAAACTATCAAAATTGTAACATGGCGAAATTAGATATAATATATCTGACCTTTTCGCGCAATGTTTAATCGGTTAGAAAGCGCGAATTGATGTGCGACTTTAAATACATTGTGAAAAGTGATGTAAAACCTGTCGTAAAAGTAATGCGCTCGCTAAATTTTTAATATTTATATATAAACTTAATAAAAACACAGTTATCGATTTTCGGTTTTAAATACTTATACAAAGCTTAAATATACAAAATAACTCACAAAACAAACCATTTCCAAGAAGTTCTAGGCTTCTTTAAGCTAATTTCAACTTAGATTTACTTTTTAAAAAGAAAATAAATTTTTCGCGGCTACTTCATAGTCATTCTTTAAAAATAAAAATGGCGATAAGAATTTAAAGCTTTTTTCAAAACACTGTTGAGAGCATTTTATCTATAGAAAAACTTTAGAATACGAAAAGATTATTTTACTTGCTTTATGTACTTGATCTTGTAGAAGAATATTCACTCCTATGAAGTTTTTATGATTGTTTCCAAAACGCGATGTTACTAAGCGATTTTTTCTTTTGACAGTATTACAAAATCTACAAAATCTATTACAAAACCGGTGTACGAGCCACTCGATCACAGAGGTCGTCTAAACAGTATTTACTAACCTGGTTTTATTTGTTATTAGTAATATAATGTCTTTATTTCTTGAGTTAAAATGCTATGTCTTATGTTCTTAATACATCGTTTAAAAGCATTATAAAGGTGCTTGCTCTATCTTGAACCTCATCCACACTTAAACACTTGGTGAAATTACAGGCACATGGGACTTGTCAACTTATGTCTTAGGGTGACGGGCGCAGTGGCCAGTGCCCCTCAGGTCTTTGCGATTTAAAGCCCCGAGTGGCATTGCAACTGTTATGGACAGGCGTGTAGTTTACCATCAGGCGCACGACTTGTTCGTCCGGTCACATGATATTATAAAAAAAAACACCTTTAAAAAATCGACACAACAATTTTATTCTACAACACAATCATGTGTTTAGTGCAGAGCTAGCAACTTAACGTTATTGTGCAATTGTCTACTTATACATCCAAAACGTTTGTAACTTGCTCTTATCTCAGTCATCCACCAAAACGAGCTTAGTTTTATAATTAGATTTATTCGTCTGGGTACAATATTTGTGGTAATGCGTTGGAAAAAGCAAAAAAAAAGAAAACAAAACTGTTTGTCTTTGGCTCGTCTTTTCGGATGTAGTCATAATTTGTTAAAACACAAGAATAATCACTCCCTATTTTGTGTTTCCTAAAAATTAGTTTTACGATTGTCGTTATTTTTTTTTTTTATTGAAAGCGTGATCTGTATCTGCAAGAACAACACAAATGTAATTTATTCATCATTAACGTGCCTTATTGCTGTCCTGTAGTAATTTTGATATAAGCTCATTGACGATGACTCATGTCCATTTTCAGTCAAGTTATTGACAAAGCTATTAGAGTACA